GTTAACCTTAATAGGAACAAGCAGAATACACTAAAAGAAGAAATAAAAGAACAGTATTAAAAGGAACGGTAAAAATAAGGGTGAGAAAGGTGGTGGAGGGGGTGCTAGTGGAAGTGGACAGACGACGCGTTCAACGACGCGATCGTCGAGTGTGTCCATTCGCGGGGTAGCGGCTGCTGGATCAGAGGGGAAGATTTGTGGTGGTGGTTGGTGGTGGTGCTACTGCTGCTGCTGCTGCTGCTTACTACTGGCGCTGTTTGAATAACAGGAGGTGAAGGAGGAGGAAGAGGAGGAGGAAAGGGTGAAGAAGAAAAAGAAGAAAGTAGTAGTAGTAGTAGTAGTAGTAGTAGTCTATGCACGCGGCAGGATTTAACGAGGAGGAGAAGAAGAAGAAGAAGAAGAAAAAGGAGGACGGTCTTGTAAAAGGGCGTTGAAAGAACGAACAGTTGCTGTTGTTACTGCTGGCTGCTGGCTGCTGCTGCTGGCTGCTGTTATTGCTGTGTTACGGGTGAGTTCTCCTTCTTTTTCTCCCCCTTTTTATCTTCCCCACTTCCCCCCTGTTTCCTCCCTACTGATTTTCCCCTATAAACGTTGTTGCACCGTTTTGCACCCTCTCTTTCTATCTATCTATCTACTCAACTATATTTCTATCTCTTTCTTCCTTTTTATTCTTCCTTTCTTTCTATGCTCTTGCTATGAGGGGGGAAATCCTTCTACACACGGATAGTAGAGGGACCCGGTCATCGATCGTACAACAACCACCGATGAGAACTTGTTAGAACTTCCTCGAAAAGGAGATACACAGATATGGTTAGGGTATACTTAGGAACACTTTTACGAATTATCATTCAAGTAGACACTTTTGTGCATTATCTTTTATCTCGTTAAACTCATTCAATTCAAATTAGATGAATTATACTTTATCTTATTATTTTTCTTGCTTATATTATTCAGTTAGCAGCAGCTTACGTTGAACATTTTACCGGGACGACGTGGCCGCGACTCATGATCGATCGATTCTTAACTCTTTTCTTTTCTTTTCTTTTCTTTTCTTTTCTTTTCTTTTCTTTTCTTTTCTTTTCTTTTTCTTCTTATTCTTGTTCGTTCCATTCGTTCATTTTATTCCAACACATATATAAACATAAATATATGTATGTGTGTTTATTTATTTACTACTTGCAACATTGATCGAATGTTCAAATATCTTTCCCTGAATTAAATCTTTTCTTTGTATGGGAGTCTTAATCACACGCACACATACATACACACGAAAATGTTTTTGATAATTGCCAGATTTTCACGAATCGTACCGATCTATAATTAGAATTAGTATAATTAGAAGACGGACGTGTCGATATCCAGTCAGAGAATATCAGTGTGAAAATGATATTGTTAGATGGTCGAGTAACACAACGACGATGACGATGACGATGACGACGAACACGACGAAGAGGAAGAATCGATCGAGTGTATCCATGATCTCTTTCTCTTTCTCTCTTTCTATTCTATTCTCTTCTCTTCTCTTCTCTTTCTATCAGTGATCCGCCTACGCCGAGTCTGCGCATCGAAAAATCCGAGAGCAAAGGATTGGATCGGAGCCGTGTTAGCTTTTTCGATAGCCGATAATTCAACTAAACGATAAAATTTGAATCATTTTATTATATTTTATTTTATTTTATTTTATTTGTTTCGTTCCACAATATTTTTCTTTATACGCCTTTTTACCGTCCATTTATCATTTTATTCTAAAACAAACGTATATAAATATATTGTTATTTTAAATGAATATTAAATGCATATTAGTTTGACTAAAAACATTCTTATCGATTTTTCCGATACAATTTAATTGCTATTTTTTGCATTATTTCTTTATCTATGTATATACATATATATATA